AGATCTAACATCAGTGTGTAAAAATTACCCTTACCATTGTATCCATATTATGAAGGTCCATCACTTCTGCTATGGTTTTCAACTGTCTGTTGATCTGACCTAATTGCAGAATTTATCCAGCGATATAAACCTGTGTGGGAATAACACAGTGTTTGGATCCAAACACTCATTTGCAAAGAAAGATTCTGTTTTAAATACACTACTAAAAAACATATTTGTAACAAATTCGTAACTTTGTCTTACAGACTAAGCACCTCTGCTGCACTGCAAATCAGAAAGGTGACACATTTATTTCCTGGTGCAGCAAAGCAGCTTTTTATGTCACCTCTCTGCCTCCAGCCTGCTTACTGGACAGTAAACCAGAACTACTGTCCATGTCAAATTATCTCACCTTGCATTTTAGTAAATAAGGTCCACTGAATCATGTTGCTTAAACTGAACACATATGATCCTGTACAGTAATGATATCATAGCCCAACATGCACAAAAGATAAAATCTTTTTTTTTGGTGCCTTGCTTTTTAGACCTGTTCTTGGGGTTATTTGGGGTGCTGCTTGAGAAAATTGAATTGGCTAGACTGCATCAGCTTTAACTTCTTAGATATGGTCGCTTTTACATCATTTTTCAGTCAGTTTTTGAAAACATCTTGCCAGAGGCGGACTGACAACTCATTGGGCCCTCGGGCAATAGGGGATCATGGGGCCCTGTGTCCTTGCCCAAACTCAAAAAAGCCTATGAAAAAGGTACCAGGGGCATCTCGTGGGGCCCCCTACTGACCCTGGGCCCTCGGGCAGTGCTCGAGTTTCCAAATGGTCAGTCCGCCTCTGCATCTTGCTGATCAACTTGTTCTTCTGTTATCTAGTTTATGTTTTTGCTTACAAGTTAGAACATATAGTGATATAGTTTTCATACTTCCAACTGTAATTTTACATCAGAAACATTGTAAGTTATTAACTATACTGTATATTATAGTTATGATCATGTAGGAGGCATGTGTACTGTATGTTGCCAGTCCTATAGTTTCATTTTTGCAGATCGAGCACCGTAGAGGTTATAGCCATTTTTTTTTGTGTTTCTTTAATGCTGTAAGGAGATTAAATAAAACACTCCTTAAAATATCCTGATTTTTGACGGGCAACCAGAGAGAAAAGTAGTATATGGCATTTACTGTATGTTGTAACTCAAAAACTAGAACTAATAGGGAAAAATTGGTGGTATTTTTGGAATCAGCAGGTCAAATATACCCAAGAACAGGTCTAACATTCGATGTACCAATATGTGTGTTGGCCTGTGTATTTCATCCTCTACAGAATAATTACTAAATTTAGAATCATCCACTGTAAACAAAAGACCGCTAATAAATAAAATTGATGTAAATTGGCACTGTTTGCAGATGTTTCCTGCAAACTGCCATAGACCCGAACCAGATGAAATCTACACTGAACTACCATAATTAGGGATAAAGCTGTATTTATTTATTTTTTTATTAATTTATTTGTCTTTTTTGCAGACATTCATTCAGAAGACTTATTCAGAAGGTTACCCAGCTGTGGTCTCTGAGACCTCTTTGTAAGCTTCACAGCCCAGAGGTCTTAGTCTTTCCACACCTCTTTTTAGTATGTAACTATGCTTCTACATTTCCATAAGATGCCGAGACTATCACCACACAGAACAAGGTGGTTCTTACCAGTATTGTCCTGTGTTCTCCGCAAAAACATGTAATTGGCTAATAAAAGAGCAGAAAAGAGGATTAGGGTGGGGGTAGACCTAGTTAGTAAAAAAATAGGTTTAGAGGTTCAAATATAAATTACTGTATCACCCAATATATGGCTTCCATCCAGTAGCCAAAAAATATGCAGACCAACAAAGAAATTTGTGAAAAGAGATTCACAAGAAAGCGGCTACATTATGGACAGAATGCGATACTCAGAAAAATTTCCAAAAATGATGCTTTATTACACATTAATAGTAGACAATCGGGCAGTCGCCCTGGTTTACCATCACCTCAGTATGAGACAATACACACAGACCTAAAACCATTTAAAATCACACCAAGACCGGTCTAGATATATATGTGCTGCAAAGGCTATGACAACCATAGTCTAAAGCATTTGCAGCACCGCACATTGGTTACAGGGAGTGTAACCAATGACTCTTTTCACAAATTTCTTTGTTGGGGGTAGACCTACCCTATCACATACCAAGTTCCTAGTAAAAAATAAAAGTGGTTCCCACAAAGAACTTCCTGTGAGGAAACGGTACATCACTACATCCTCACATTACTTCCCTCAGATGATAGCACCCCCTCATCACCTCCCATTAATACTGGGGAATAGACTGCAAGGCAGTGTATAAATAATATGATACTTAACAGATTTGCATGCCTAATTTTAAATTGCAATTTAAGAGTGTTTGCATTAAAAAAGAGTTTGTTTTGCTTTAACAGCTATTTCACATTCGTTTTTTTACTGAACGTTATTGCATCTTTTTTTTCTAGTGTAAATTATTACATAAAATATTATTAAACGCATACTGTCATTTATCTTACAGCACTGATCTACATGTAGTTTTCAGTAGCTTCATATTTTATTAATAATAAGTGTTAGGTTAGAGTTGGCATTACTGAGTGATTTCTCTTATTTACAGGTTTATCCACAACATGGAGAGAATAAGGAGTTGTCACTCTGAATCTTCAGGATGGAGGATGAGCACACAGGGCTGCGTTCAGCTCTTCAGTGCCTTAGAATATCCTGTTTGCCGTATAGCTGTTATCACAAACAAGTGTCTTCCAGGCATGCTTCTTCTTGTACATGTTACAGTTGAAAAGACAGGACGATTCCTCTCCTGCTGTGTTAAGACCTTGGCTCTCTGAACAAGATTTGACTTCTAACGCTGACGGGCACAACCAATGAACTTTGCTCCCAAAAAAACTCATTTGGCTCGTTCAAGAGGCCAAATCCTCTCACTCTTACAGCCTGCGTTGGTAACCCATCTGGAACACCCTGCCGAAGCGCCATGCATGCACGGACTTCAAGACGCTAGGCTACGGATGCAGAAAGAGTGCAAGACACACATATCTTGATTAATCAGAACAGACAGAAATTGTCCGTTGGCTGGAAAAATAGCCCTTTGTTTGGAAAAATAGAAAGGAAAGTAACAAGAATCTGAATCTTGGCTAAACACTGAATTTTAGAAGATTGTGTCACTTTGATAGCTTCAAGCTGTTAAGATAAATTCTGTAGGTCTAAGTGCAGAAAAAACAACATTATGGTGTGCACGGTAGTGGAAGTGTTTTGCTGTGGAAATCCAAAGGGTATATCATGGTTTTAATTCAATTACATAAACTATATTTAGTAATCTGCATAGATATAATTGCTTCTTAACATTGTGCTCTTTAATGCACAAAATAATCAAATAGGAAATGTCTGCATTTCTGCCCAGTGCAGGAATAACAAAGTTTATTACATAGTGATGAGCAGCCTATTAAAAGCAATGCATGCAAACATGTATATCTCCAACAACTTTCTTATCCAGCATAATATACTAAAAATCATCACTCTGTTATATCCAGCAATGTTTACATGCCATTGGTTTCCCCCTACTATGTTCTCCCTTTGCTAGTCACTGAAAGTTTTTTTTCCTCAACTGGCTTCTAGTTGTGAACAGTGCATTCATGTGCATTGCTATTTTTACATTACAGCTCCCAATAAGCATTGCACCTGCCTATTACAATGTGTATGCTTCCCTATTTGAACTCATTCATTTCATTGCAGTCTTTTGTTTCCTGGTCCTGCTGTCAATCAAGAAGCCCATAAGTGGTGCTGCATGGGCAGGGCTAATATTAATGGATGGTTTTATTGGTTGCATATGGTGACAATGAATACATCCGGTGCTAGCACGAAAGAATGAAATCCATCTCAAGAGCACATTGAGGAGGGTGGCTACATTTAGACATATATTACGATCAAGTAGAGTCAGGGTAGCCACCATTATAATGGAGGTGTGATTGCAGCAGTATGTTAATTTAGAAATCTGCATGTACTATTTGACTCTGATATAACAAGGTGCACAGATGACAAGAGAACAGTGATATTTGGTTTTTTGTATTTAGTACCGGTTTTAGTGACATATATATATATACATACACACACTATATTGCCAAAAATATTGGGACGCCTGCCTTTACACACACATGACATTTAATGGCATCCCAGTCTTAGTCCATAGAAATCAATATTGAGTTGGCCCATCCTTTGCAGCTATAACAGCTTCAGCTCTTCTGGGAAGGCTGTCCACAAGGTTTAGGAGTGTGTCTATGGGAATGTTTGACCATTCTTCCAGAAGCACATTTGTGAGGTCAGGCACTGATGTCGGACTAGAAGGTCTGGCTCGCAGTCTCTGCTCTAATTCATCCCAAAGGTGTTCTGTCAGGTTGAGGTCAGGACATGCTCATCCATGTCTTCATGGACTTTATTTGTGCACTGGTGCGCAGTCACGTTGAAACAGGAAGGGGCCATCCCTAAACTGTTGCCATGAAATTGTCCAAAATGTCTTGGCATGCTGATGCCTTAAGAGTTCCCTTCACTGGAACTAAGGGGCCAAGCTCAACCCCTGAAAAACAACCCCACAGCATAATCCCCCCTCCACCAATCTTTACACTTGGAACAATGCAATCAGGCAAGTATCGCTCTCCTGGCAACCACCAAACCCAGACACATGCATCAGATTGTCAGACAGAGAAGCGTGATTCGTCACTCCAGAGAACACGTCTCCACTGCCATAGAGTTCAGTGGCAGCACGCTTTACACCACTGCATCCGATGCTTTGCACTTGGTGATGTAAGGCTTGGCTGCAGCTGCTCAACCATAGAAACCCATTCCATGAAGCTCTCAACGCACTGTTGTTGTGCCAATCTGAAGGCCACACAAAGTTTGGAGGTCTTTAGCTATTGAGAGTGACCCATTCTTTCACAAATGTTTGTAGAAGCAATCTGCATGCATAGGTGCTTGATTTTATACACCTGTGGCCATGGAGGTGATTGGAACACCTGAATCTAATGATTTGGAGGGGTGTCCCAATACTTTTGGCAACATAGTGTATATACTGTATATTTAATTTTGTGCTGTATAGAAAATCAGCACATGTGATCACAAAAACATTAAAAAGTACTTTCAATACCTTTAAAAGAAGAGACATTACACTAGAAAATAGTATCAGTGTTTGAACACATGCATTCCTGCATTTGGTTTATTTTCAGGCTTTTAGGAGGACTGCAAGCTGCACTTATAAAAGAAGAAAGGGCTCAAATATTGTGTAACGCTTGCTGGGTCCAAAGAGGCAAAGATCCTCGTTGAGGTGTCCAGTTCACTCCTCAAAGGCACTTATTCGCTGGCCTATCTTCCTTTCTAGAAAGTTCTAAGCCCAGGTGGGCAGAAGATGTATGGCTGGTATAAAATTGGCTAGGCAGCAGCATAACTAAAAATGTATACCCTATGATCCCACACATTGTCAAGTAGGCATTATCCTTGGAGTACATTGGCATACAGATTTTCCGCCAGGTATAAAAGACCCTGTCATGCCATAAACTTCCATGCAGCCCAGACTGAGCTCAGTCCCCATGAATTTAAAAATTCTGCAAGAAACACAAAGCACTGTCTGTAAGCAACCCAACAATATAACAGGAGAAAATGTAACCTATGTCTAGAACAGGTAGATTACAGTTCTTTAATGCATTATTCTCTTAGAGTACCTATTTGTGAACTATACAATAAAGGATAGAGTGAGTGTATGTAAGTAAAGCCAGAATTGTGGTCCAGGATCAGATGGATGACCAGATTTTTGGGGGGAGGTTATGTTTGTGCGGGTGTGCGTGTCCCTTTCCTTTGAGTCTCTCCCAAGGTGCAGTTTTCCTTTTAATTATAATATACAACATATCTTGACCCTGACATGAAGTGGGATGTACAGTATAATGGTAGAAAGACTATATCACAGCACTGGTATCTTTCTGGGCAGAAAAAAAAGTTTGGTCTTAAATGCAAAGGATCCCAACACAGGAAATGTAAGAAGAGTTGAAAATAAAGCGCCACACCACTGCTAAGATCCTCTGGGGTGTAGAAGCCACCTGTCCAGGAACCAGATCATTTACACCAACATTACTATCTTAAGATAATAATACTAGTGGAGTGTACCTGTGGGTCCAGCGCTGTCTTTCCACTTTCCTCAACAATACAGGAAATGTGACTGGTTAAACAAGGAGTTAAAGCAGAACTCCAATTTTGTATTAAAAATTTGGCCTACAAAACACAATAAGCACTTTTTGCATCAGCACTTACCTTAAAGTGTTACTAAACACACAACAGTAAAATCAGTCTGCATATGCAGTAAAGCATGCTTGTTGTACTCACTGTGGACCCTCAAGGGTTAATCCTCCACATTGTGTAAAAAGGATGTTTGATCTTGTCTTCTCTGATCCTCCCCTTCTTCCAGTGTCTTCTAAATATCTCCTGATAGAACAGAGGCTCGGGGACAAGCGACACATGCTCAGTTGGAAGTGTATTGCGAGAAAGTTTTTTTTTTCCTTGGGAGAGTGCATGTGATCAGCACAGGGCCAATCAGCACTGTCCTGCAGGGGTCCTACAGGAGAATGAAAACTCCTACGAGCTGTAACCAGTGCTCTGCTGGGCACTGATAGAAGTCATAAGACTGCTCTAACGGCTGATGAGAAAAGGTATTTAGCAATTTATATTTACTAAAATAATTGTATTTCCATGTTGTGTGTACTGTGGGAGACCAGATATAGTGAATGAAGGATCCTGGGTTTAGTAAGACTTTAAATCAGTACTAATTTCTTTCTCTCGATGGTGTGAGGATCGGTGTAATTTATCCTGCTTCCTCTGAGCCTAGACTATTATAGACCTTCCCTGGGGGGATGTAATTACATCAGTCTTGGCTCAGAGTACTACTATTCAGTGCAGGAATTGAGACTGTGCATCATTGCTGCCAGAGAATAAGAGGAAGGACCTGTGACATCACTGGACTAGCAAGAAGACATTTGGATAAAGATATGTATTTTTTAAGTCATTTAAGCACAGGGGGGTCTCAGGGAGGGGGTATTTTAAACTGGAGTTCCACTTATTGTACATCTACTGGCTGATCCCTTATCCACAACCTGGGCACCTACTTTGTGACTTGGGTTCACCCAGTCCCATGGCTAGACATGTCTTCCTCACAGGCAAACTTCCTTTCATATCAGGTAACACATGTGAAGGCAGGTAATATATAAAATCATATAGTATCAGGGAACCTGAGAATTAAAGAGTGAAATGAATTAGGATTTTATGTGATGCAGTGGTCAATGATCGCAATTTCTACAATGTGTAACTCACCTTTATAAAAAATGTAGTTAATTAACTTTAGCTAGAACTCATTGCTGAGATGGCCTTTGCTATCTATGCTTGCAATCATATCTGGTTGAATGGGTCTGTTACACTTAAAAAGTACATTTAAAAAACTGGTATTTTTCTTGAATATATATATATATATATATATATATATATATATATATATATATATATATATACTGTATAAATTCTTTTTCTAGATTAACAATGTTTGAATTGTCCTATATTAGTGACAGTAAGTACAGAAGCATCCCTGAGGCAAATTATTGTAGGAAGGCTACTTGTCAAATTGGTGTTATGTTCTATTCACAGAATTCCTTTGTATCAGGTATCTGCATTTCTCCGGCAGCCATTGAGTTAACTCTCCTATTTAAAACAAGAAATATTCTACATTCAAATATTATGGATACAAAGGTAAATTGCTGATACCCTTATCATTAGCAAACCCTGCTGGTTACAAACAGCAACCAATCTATTCCTACATACTCCCACCCACAGGAGTCTTTTCAGCAAAGATTTTCTGCAGTCACTGGAACAGAAGGAGGTCTGCTTCAACAGCCTAATATACTTTTTCCTACAGAAAATAGTTGTGAATGTAAGTAGTGTATCTATCATTATTCTAATTATCGCTGATAGTCTACATGTCCTCACCGATATAAAGTTGAGAGAGCCAAATAGCCATTACTATTGCCTTTTATATAGATACACAATTTATGTTCCTGATTATACAAAATTCTGTAATATGTTTGTCCTATACATATGCAATGGATTTACATATAGAAAGATGTCTGAGAAAAAGCTAGATAGAAAGACAGCCAGATGGGCAGGTAGACAGACAGGCAGGTAAAATACTGAAGCGCATTTTTAAAAGAATCTTGGAAAGTCATGAAATGAAAATGTGACTTCTATTATATTTTATTTCACATATTATTTTTAAGATAGAAAATGTAAACAAGGATGCAGTTTTCATAATCATTTGTACTTTCCTGCATTAATCACTTTCAAAATGAACCTTTAGGCCTGGTTCAAACTGGTTTGATTTCAGGTGCGACTTGAGTCGCACGTATCAATGCACATATTTGTCAGCACACTACAAATCGTCTAGTGTCATCCAAACGTTTTGTGGAAGAATGATCACATCACAAAGGACAAAGTGCAATGTTTTGAAGCTGTGCAGAACCCCATTGTCAGGCATGTGGCACCACTAGACCATCCATGGTATTCTGGCAAATATGTGCATTGACTTGTCTCCAGTCTCAACTGGCAGTTGCTGCAGCACTTGCTACTTCCGAGCCTATTCCCGGAATGTGTGCAATGGGAATATTGACAATATCTTGACATTGTTTACAATGGTGACTGTTCACATCAATAGAACTCAGCATGGAGTAATTGTAAACATTCCTGTACTACTTTGGTGTGATTCCAATGTGATTTTGGCCCCATAGAATATACAAACCCTATCAAAGTTGCACTACATAATCGCACTAAAAGTCAGATCAGAATCGTATCTTAGAAGTGTGAATATAGCTTTTTGGTCTGGAGGCAGCAGGACTGTATTTGCCACTTGCAGGCCAGTGCGTAGGTCAGCAGTTCCCAAAATGCACAAACTGAGAGAATCCTTTCCTTATTCGAGCAATTTTCAACAAGAACACTAACAATTTATGTCACCGGTATTTTATACTAAACAAATCATACAGTATGTCATAAAAGGTGAAACTTTTACAGAAAAGCTTTGCTATTCAACTGTCAAGATTTCTAAATATGGCTTTGCTTTGTGGGTATTAATTGGCACTGTAAATGCTTCACATATATATATACCAGCAGTCAACACCTATAGTCCATTTAAAGTGCATTTAAAGGCAAAACATTTTTTGGTTTTGGATTGAGTAGGGTCAACTTTGATTGCTGTCTGTCACCCATTTAGTTGTCCAAGCGACCACTGTTAGCTAGACAAAAAGTGAGGGAAAATCCAAAATGATAAGGTTGTTACCAGAACAGGTGATGGTAAATCTTCCATTGTTGACACCCATTCCAGTGACAACTGTCTATGATGGGAATTCCCTTTTCTTTAGAAATAATTCTTCTCTTTCTCTGTTGCATACCTGTGGCATCTTCAGAGCAGGGACTAAAGGAAATCTCCAAAGTGGGACACAGGCAGAAAAAAGATTACCTGATTACATCTCCTCCCTACTCTGTCCCAAAAAAGGTTTTTGCTATACACAAACTGTATACCTTTACAAATAGCAAATTTAGGTCTTCAAACAACTTGTGATCCAGCAGGTAACTTTGTTAACTTTCTTGATCCTTAACTGTTTTACAGTGCCTACACTCTGGATCAGGCTTTCTCAACCAGGCTTCTGTGGAACTCTAAGGTTCCTCTAGAAGTTACTTGGGGTTCCTTGAGCAAGAAGAAGAATAACTTCTAGTAACCACTGATATCAATTATTTTTTTAGGTGTGTGTGAGGAGGGAGCAGTTTTCACACTGCTCAACAATGTAGGGGACCACTACACTAAGTAGCAATATAAGAAATCACTTTTCCTATGACCACCAATGTAAGAGACACTATAATTTTCACACTGGTGTTTCTTTTCTGATTAATACTTTCTATTAGATTTCATAATTGATATTGAAACAATTTTTCTTATACAGAGGAGTT